ATAGCTAGATGGGTAAGGATATCAATGTTGATCCCTTCTTTAAACCTTTGACAACAAAGGTCTTCAGTCGCCACCAACTCATGTATATAACGGCTCCGGCGGAAGAAGTCGCGTCCATACTCCATCAAAAATCGATCACCCTAGACCAAGTGAGTGAATTGGTCCCTCAAGTCATTAGTGTACGCCTCACCAATATAATTATGTTTGAACTTCTTTAAAAAGTACTTCTAAGTCGGTTTCACAGGCTCCAAAGCTAGCTCGACTGTCTCTCACCAGTCGATGGCATAACCTTTTAGCAACGTGGTGATGCACTCAAGCTTACCCTCCGGGGTAAGTTGCAATTGCCTCAAAGTGTGAAGGGCCTCACGAAGCCACTGATCAGAGGCAATGGGATCATCATCACCAGTACCATAAAATTCGTAGTTTTGTAGTATCTGAGTTACTCTATGAGTGATTCCTGAGTTCTACGGGTGATGGAACATGAAGGGTAGATGCGTCGTGTGCTCTCAGAATGACTCTAATAATGTGCTTAAGTGCAGTTGCGAGGTCCTTGAAGAAGGTAGCCTCATCTATCCATGCATCCTCCGCAATAACCATATCCTTAGAGTACGAAATGAACTCATCGCTAGTATCTCCGGTAAGTGAGACGTGACTTTCGTTGTGACCCTATTAACTATTTGTTAATTTGTCAGCCATGCCCTATAGAATTCAAAGAATGTAGTTATTATTTCCTTTCCAAATAATCAAGTACTGTAACACTCGAAGTGCATGTAACTCATTGACTCTTATTAACTCTAACCAACGGGTCCTAAGAACAACTAAACCTGACGCTCTAATACCACTAAATGTAACACATAATTCTGATTCGAACCGAAGCCCAAACGATTTGGATATTACATGGGACCATCAAAGTGGCTAACCCAAAATTTCTTTAAAAACATATTAAATTCATATATTAAAATTATTCATTGTAGTTGTAAATTTAAAACATATTAGCAAAATAAAAATAATGGAGAACTCTCAAAATATACCAAGTTTATACAAAGAGTTATGAATCAAATTAAACAAAAGGTATATGGAGTACATTCCAACTAAAATAATCGAGATGTGCTATGTGACTTGCTGGTATATGGATCTCAACGACCTGACGATAAGCTCCTGGATAGAAACCTACTAACCTGGGAACGAAAATAATTCCAAATATTTAGAGATTAGTAGCACATAGATAACTCTAGTAAACTATATGCATCCATTAGATGAAAAACCTAACAAGTTCTATCACAAGGCAACGTATTATAACAAGCATGAGGCCTAATAAGTATTAAACAACACAAGTATGAGTATGAAATCACACACACACACACATAAATATATATATCATGGTCTTTCCATTGAATAACAAAAAGTTTCATAACATTGATCCTAAAGTGCCTCAACATTGGCTTGGAAGTCCTTAACTACATTTACTCGGTAAATGTTCATGCATTCAAATAGTTCTGGTGTCCTTGGTATTTCTTGAATGTCAAGCAAGGCTAGTTGGTACAATTTTACTTATGTCGTTCTTATTATGCCAAGAGTTATTAGTGGTTCTAACTTGTATTCTTATTCAAGAGGTCTCAACCGCTCTCAGGTTTCTAATTTGGGTACTAGAAACAAACTTGTGTTTTCTACACAATATGGGCTGCTGGTTCCAATATTGGGCTTGACAATTTCGATATTGAACTTACTATATCGATACTACCCTGAGTATCAATAACAAAAATAACTTCAAAGTTCCCAATATCAATACTCACTCCAAAGCATCAATACTCACAGTCTTGTTTATCGATGCTCCCATGAGTACCGATACCAATTTGGCTATCGTAATCAAAAATGAAATCCTAGTATCAATACCCACCCTGGAGTATCGATACTCCCAACTTAGTTGATGAAAGGGCTCACAAAAATCACCCAAGCACTAACTTCTTTTTGTTCTTACTTTTTGAGCTTTCACCAACTTCCCTCACTAATTAAAAGCAAGTAAGAGGATTACTAATACATTTAAAGACTCTAATTGAGTAGAAACATAATTCTAAACATTTAAGAAAAAATTTGGGATATTTCTAGGCCTTAAACCAAAACCTCTATAACCCCCCCCCCCATTTTGGCCACCATGTCCAAGCCTTGAGATTTTTGAGTTAGAAATGAAGCTCTAAGGAATAAGATTGTAATTCTTACCATAATAAATTTGAACTAGACTTGTTGGGCAATCAAGTTTTCACCTTTGACACCCAAGATGAAGATAAATGAAGATAAATGAGGATAAATTAGAGAAGGAATAATAAAAAGGGTGGAAAAATGAGAAAGCAAAATTTGCAGCTTATACCCCACGTTGGCATCATTGAAAACTTAATGATTCATCCTTTCAAAACTTGAGGAGTTTATTGCCACTTTGATCCTTCTTATTTTGGTTCTAATTAAAAAACCCCATTTTACCAACATTTGGGCTTTATCCAAGCCCAAATTCAACTCTCAGTTAACTCAAACATTTAATTATGCTTATCTAAGTATTCTAAGCCCAACCATCATACCTGAAACTACTAACCCGATTTTTGGGTTGTTACAACTACGAATTACTCCATAATTAGGATCTTCATGATCCTCGACTTGATTTTGAATTTCGTACATGGTTCTTTGAGCACGTCTTCTTTGACGAAATAATCTTTCAATTTCAAGTTCAAAAGGTAATAATGGTTTTTCGGATCTTCCTCGGGTCATGCAACAACACAAAACCTGAAAAGATAAATAAAAATAACAAATAAATATCTACAAAAATAAGTAAAAAAATGATGCAAAAACTAAACTTAAAATCACAAATTTCCAAACACAACAACAATGCCAAAAATTTGTTGTGTGTGTAAGTGTAATGCGTAGATTGTACAAGTATACACATCGATCAAGTAATAAAGTGATGAGTCAAATCATCTCTACATGGATTAGAGGAAAATTAAGAAAAGTAAATACACTCAAAATATAGATAAAAGTATTGTGACTAAAGTTTTATGAACAAGGTGTAATAAATGTTGTGATAAAATTAATGAGAACTAGGGTTCACAAGATAAGAAAACGAAACCTCACACGCGTTGACGTCTACAGAGGAATAAAAGACAAGGTTTACTATGTAATTTTATGCTTTTCCTTTAAGAGATGTCTAACAACTTCCATTAATACACTGCTCGATGGAGTTTACTACTATGTCTCTTCATTATTCCTAGTAAGAGTCTGATAATAAAATGCTATAGTTATACATTCTTACATCAACTTTAGCAAGTTATTATCACTTAAACTCTACTCTTTTAAGTAGTTGAAATTTTTTCCTTTTTCCTAAGACGAGTTAAGGTTAAACTTCTCAACTCAAACCCATCGTTTATGTAAAACAATGAAGAAGAAAATATTAAAGTGAAAATTGCTTAGACATTCATTCAAACAAAAACATCATTATCCATAGTAAATCCAAGCCAAGCTAAATTAGTTCATGGCTAGGCAAGAAACATCCCTAGTTAAACATTCGAACATTATTCCAAAAGAAATGGTAAACAACACAAGATAAAAACAAGGGGTAAGAAGAACTTTTGAGCTGTCATGAGTTGATTCAAGCCTTGCAAGCTTCTTCCGAAAGTTGGCATGATATCCCTTGAAGCACCCAACAATAAAGGTCGTCCCCACGAAGAAGAAGAAGAGAAGAAACGAGTGACAAGCCACCTTTCTCTTTTCTTTATATAGTGGGGACTCTTAGGGTTTTGTACCCTCGATTCTTTATTGTGTGCCCTAGGGAAATATTCCCTTTATGTGTAATGACTACAGCGAGTAGGGGATCATGTGTTCTTTTCTCCAAGTATTTCTCTTTTCTTTTAACTCCTAGAAATGCTAGCAGCAATGCCATGACAATATACCACTTCGCATTCTTCCTTGTCAACATGCACAAAAAACCACCAAACAACTATCTTTCCCTCATCAATGCATCATTTAATGAATAATTAAAGTCCACAAGCAAACTCTACCAATGCATGATTAACGCAACTAAATGAGTTTGAAACCAAACAATAACCCAAGTAAAAAAATATATGAAATATACGTTTTTACAGGTTAACAAAACTACCCTTTTTGTATCCATCATAAGGGTTCATATATTTACTTTTAATGTTGTTGTTAAGCGTAAAATCATGATGGCTACTAATAAACTAGTAGAATAAATATGAGATTACATCTTATATTACACTATGTATAATATTAAAATACGAATTGTTTGTACCCTCTTAAGGAAACATAAATCAAACACTATAATCTTTTTTTAATAGGAAATATAATTTAGATAGCACAAAATCAAATAAATAGTATGATTGTAATCCTACAAAGCATATTGATTTTTATTTGGTACAACATTACGGGGAGTTTTGCGATGAGACATGTTAAAATACAATTAAGAAAAAGTAAGAACATGCGAAACCTAAAATATTATCAAAAAATTTATATTTTCGTTAGACGCAACTTAAAATATAATATTTTTTATAATTTTTTTATTATAATCTAAAATATTATATATTTTTATAACATTTTAAATTGACTGATGAAAATAATATTTTTTTGCAGCCAAATAATTGTAATTGTAACGGAGCCATTTTTTTCCTATAAAAAGGACATCAGTTCAATTTTGCTTTGTTGGCTTTTCTCCCATTCCATGCTTCTTTCATTCATCTGCGGTATTGTCGCCGTTCCCTTCGATACAACGAAGCAAATTTGGATTGTACCAACTAACAACCCCTTCCCTCTCCTTACAAAATTATGGTGTCACCCATTCAATTGATTAATACATTTCTTTCTTTTCTTTCCTTTTCCTTGCTTCCTAGTTTGCTCTTACTCTACACAGAGGAGGAGAAAAGGCCAAATCCAATGGATTTTTGAAAGTTTGACAGCTTTCTCTCTCAATTCTGGGAACAAGTTCGATCGATAGAGAGAGAGAGAGGGTGGTTTCGCAATTTCAGGACGATTTCTTCTTTGTTAGTTACTTGGGAAACAAACAAATCAACTAGAGATTATGTAAGAAAAGATTCTACGGATAAAAATGAAAAGAAATGTTTGAATTGTGGGTATTTTTTTTTCATTAATTGTGGGTTTCTTAAATTCGGCGGGTTTGCAGAGAAGATTTGGGTGAAACACAGGCACAAAGAAAAAACAAAGGAATGGTTGTTGAAATCGCTCCAGAGGAGCAATTTTATTCCATCGAAGAATCGATTGAGGTTGGACAATTTTTTGATATCGAGTACGAGTTCGATGCACCTCAATGCTTTGATTTCAGTTGCCCAGAAACTGATTGGGAGGCTAAAGAAGCCGAACTTTGGTTTGAATCAGCTGGAAGCTATCCGTCTTCGCGTAAGCCTTTTCCTGTGTTTTTTTTATGATCGAATCATTACACTAATAGCTACTAGCAACCGCTATACCGTTAAATAACGATAATGGTGCCGTCTGAAATGGTTGTTGCATGATCACTACATCCACAATTACCACAATAACATCTATTATGCAACTGAAAACGTGACCGCAACGGCAATTTAAATTACTGATCACAACCTTTTTATTGGTAACACTTCTGATAATCTTATAATATTTTTAAATTTTCAGCTTTGGTAATAAAGTTGAAATGGAGATATGAATGTGACGTAAATGAGGTTGGAGAACATGACAATGGCTCAACAGAATGTGATGAATATAATGGAGGTATATTCTTGTCTTCATGAAATTGTTTTCCTGTGTTTTGTTTAACTAGGATGGTAGTTTATAATCGGTGCTATTCTTTGCAACTTTTGTTTGATTTGGCAGAGTCAATTTGTAGAGATTATTAATATGGTTTCTTTTTGAAGAAGAATTCTTTATTAATAATCTGCAAAAAAAAAATCAATGATAAAAAAGAGATCTAGGGCCCTAGAAATGCAATGTACTAATGTTGTTCCATATCTGTGGATCAGAAACATGTGATAGGTGCTGCGAAGGTAATCTAGGGCCCAAAACTGATTCTCTGGTCAAGGCATCTCTATCTAGTAGTTCAACATTGATGAAACCTACAGCAAGTTACTTGGCGAAGCAAAATCAATCTCGAATGGTTCTTTCCAATCAATTTCAGAAAAGGTGTTACTCTATTATTATTGGATACCATTATATGCTCTGACATTGGTAGTTAGAATTCTGGTTTAATAAAAATCTTTGCCTCAAATTCAAGGTTTAATTCTCTATTTGGAGTCATGATAAATTTAAAGGTTTTAACCTGTTGGTTCCTTTACTGCACAGCCTACAAAAGCCTGCTGACAGATTCAATAAGAGTCTTTCCTGCAATGAAGATGATGCTACCAAAAGACAAAAGCTGGAAGAAGGTTACTTATTCAAGGTGCTTTCACTTATGTTTCTCTGATATAAGATTGGACCTTGTTTACATGTATTGTGGTTCAAATGGTCTCTGTGCTTATGGAACCAGACCAATTATTATGATTCACTTGTGAGAATGTCCGAGTTTACCTGCTATAATTTTCCATAGTGATGTTGAAAATGAAAATAATCTGATGATCTTATGAAAGCAATATACACTTCGAATATGTTATGGCCAAGAGTATATTGTAACCCAAGCTATAATTGGTCTGATGATATTGTTATCCCCCTCCTTAGTTGTATGTATCATGGCATATAGCTGTGTTTCTGCTTTGGTCTTTGTTAGTTTTACATGTTACTTCACTGTTGTTTTTTGGTTTTATTTGAAATTACTTATATAGCTGAAATTCATTTGCTAACCATTGGATTTTGGTATGAGAGGATGTTCAATAATTTTATTTTTTGAAAAGCAGGCTGCCCATCTAAAGCATCAATCTAAGTTTGTGCTCAAGAAACTACAAACAGTAAGTTGTAGAATTAAGAAAGTGTTTTTTTTTTCTACTAATGTCAATTGTATTTTTCTTTTGTTGCCAACTACTGGGGTTAATTTAAACATGCCATCACCATGTGTATGTGTTTGCAGGGACAATAAATCTGTAAAAACGATAAACATTATCAGTTTTCTGAAAAATCTGACTTTGTTGTCCAGGTCCAATCCCTTGATAGTGTTCATATTAAACCTAAAGTCACAATTCCAAGAGAACCAGAGCTAAAAACAGCAATAAGGGCTCAGAGACATAGGTACATTTGATTTCCCATCATTCACCCCAAGATTTTATTTTTTTTACTTTGCTTAAAAGCTGATAACCAAATGGTGACAATTTCAGGTCTAAAGATAAGGCAGAGTCAGATGGAAATGCAAAATCAAATGTTCCTTTGTTTAAAGCACTCCCCTTAAACAGAAAAGTTAGTACTTTTAGGTCTAAAAACTAAATTTTACTTGAATTTTTCTGGAACATAATTATGCAGAGAAGTTTATGGTATCTTTGATGTTGAATGTGTAGTCTCAATATTTTCTTTGGACTTGATAGATTCTTGCTGCACCTTCATTGCCCCTTCCCAAGAAAAGCCTGCCTCAGCCACCAGAGTTTCAGGTATTTGATAGCCACAGGAACTTATTATTTTGTCTCCGCTTTCATGAGAAATCCAGCATGACCCTTGTCTGGATAATTTTGTCACATAGAATATACTTTGTTTATTTTCCTTAGGTGTTTCATCTAAGGACATCCGAGAGAGCCAAGCAGCATGCATATAATACGGTGTGTTATTTATAATTTTATTTATATACTGATCTCGTATTTATTCTTAAGTATTCTCTAAAGTTTGAACCCTATTTGGGTTCTACATGTCAGTAGTTTTTTCAGTTGTTGGAACTTAAGAGTTAATAATATCCTCTTTGCAGGCAATGAAAGTAGCTATGTATGTGTCAACTTCAAGAAATGAAAACACAAGCCTCAGAAAGTAATATTACTTTGGCTTTTAGCTTCACTCAGTTTTTTCCTTTTTCATTCCTTCCATCTCTTGATGTTCTTTTCCTATTCCTTTGTTTTCATAGCTTCAAGTCTATCAATTCATTAAAGGAGGAGAAACATGAAGCTGTTAACAAATCCAAAGCTTGTTCTCCTAATAAGAAGGTTGTTCAGATATACCTATTCTTCCTTGTTCTACAGATATTATTAAAAATAATTATTGAATATAGAACCATTTTGTTGGCTTTTCAGGTAACTTCTAGTAAAGGTGTCCTTCAGAATATGAACAAAAAAACAGCCACAACGAGGCTTCCAGATGAACCATCAAAGGAACTATTAAATAAGGTATTAAACTTACTTTTTCCAATATATATTCAGTAACAAACTTTATCCTGAAATGAACCATCTAATTTTTTTTGGAATATCCACGCCTTATACATCCTTAATAGAATTTCTCAATCTGCTCTTGATCTGGGTTTGATAATATTTTGCTGCTTGCTTGCATGTATATCCAGCTCTCAGTGTCTTCTGAAATGTCTGAAGAAAAAATGGCTATTTCTGAAGTTGGTTCCCTCAATTTTTTTTTTTTTTTTCGGAACCTAAAGCATGTCTATGAATTGTATTCTTATTAAGTTCTTCCACTTGTTGAATTAAGGGATTGAAAGAGAATGACCCAGGTACTCTGCTTCTGCAGCATCAGGTACATTGAATGACGATTATATGCACCCACTAGATCACAGAATTAAAGTAATTTGACACATCTTCCTCCTGATCATTGCATTAACATTGAATATAAAATGTGGAATTTGTAGATCGTTGAAGTGGTCAAAGAACATTTCCAAAAGAAGGGAAAATTGCAATACCAGTGTAGAAGAGAAGAGAATATCGGAAATGGGCGACAAGATAACATTAGCAGGTATAGCCTGTTTTACCCTGTTGGATTTGAGATCTCCCTACTTTTTTCAGTAACTTCGATCTATTGATTTTCTTCTCTTTTTTTGCTATAACATATTGGCCTCAACGGCTTTTGCTACTTTTATCCGAGATTAATGGCTGTGCTAGTTAAATTTATGCCGGTGTTTCTAGTTTAGCTTGATGGATCAAGAATTAAAAACAAACTAGCCTGTTGGCAAAAACAGTTCTGTTTTTAGTTTTAGAATTCTCGTACAGCTAAAGATTTTCACGTCAAACAGGTCAGATATCTGGATTCTAGGCTCTGCGGTATCTTGAAGAATGATGACTATTTTTTATCATCGGAAATTCAAGAATTAAATCCATATAAACATTTGATGTCTGACTTAGCCCAAGACATTCTAATCTGATCAGGCTGCTATTTTTTGGCTTCTGCAAATGAAGCGCTTGCAACTTTCTGTCTTAGGCAGATAGGTTATATAAACTCAGAAGTACTTATCGTACAAACCAAAACTACCTCGTATAGAAGCACCTTTGTACTTACCGTACAAACCAAAACTACCTCTGAGCACCTTTCTTATGGTTTTGGGGAAGGGTTGAGTGTTTAAAGTGAACAAGATAGTCTTTAATTAGGCCATTAGCCCAGGTTTTCTGATTTATGGTTGAAACCAAATCATCTTTCTGTTCATCACTCCTTAACATATCTATTCCAGCTAATATTTACATTGCATATCTTTGAATATATATATGTGTGTGTGTGTGTTAGGACATAGGATCCACTTACTCGGTGTAAAACTTTTTTTAGTTTTACACATTTATAGAATCGTTCGATGAATGAAAATAGACGGTTGACATTAACTCTTTTTTTTAATGAATATCTTCTCATGTCCTACTGTTAATATATTCATTTTCTTTTTTTGGATTTTTTTTTGTGACAGGAGATTGAGATTGCATGTAGTCTGAAATCCCTATGTAGTTCTGGTCGCCACCTTCATCTGGAGCTTCAAGCGGGCAAAACAGTAAGCAAGTTTTTGTTGGCAACAGTGTATACTTATATATAAATAATTGAATTGTATTTATTCATTGAAAGAAAAGAAAAGAAAAGAAAGCTTTTGAAAGAAATAGCAATGTACAGCAGACGTGAGATTTTTTGTTAGCCTTTGTCACGAAAAAATGCATAAAATGTATATCATGAAAGCTGTATATAAATAATTGAATTGTATTTATTCCTCCACTCTTTCCGGAAACATCTTTACTAGCCATGCTATAGAATAGCTAACAAGTTGAGCTAAATTTAAATGATTAAATGTTTAGGGTAAATTATGCGTTTAATGCATAAACTATCAGTTTTGATCCGTTTTAGTATCTAAACTTTCAATTTTATTATTAAAGCAAATCATACAATAACTCTGTTAATGAGAAAACAATTGAGTGATTAAAAAAATTATGGTATAAAATTCAGTGATTAAATTGAAAAAATTGAAAGTATAATAAGTGAAATAAGAGAGAATAATGTTCAGTTATCAAACATGTAATTTATCTAAATTATGCCTTAATAATAATTCTAATCAAAATAATAAATATATAAAGCATAAAATATGCAAATACAGAGGAAGAAAGTTTTTATTAATGTTGGAATATATGAAAGGGGAAGATGGTGAGGAAGAAGAATTGAAAAGAAGAGGGGTTAAACTGATAGAATATTAATGGGGGAATAAAGGAAAGGGGAAGATGGTAGATGAAGAGGAGGAGGGAGAATAATAGAAAAGAAGAAGGGTTAAATTCATAAAATGTTAAAATATTGAGAGCTAAAATTTTAAAATTAAGGTCAAAGTGTAAAAATTGAGGGTTAAATTTATTATTATATTAATTTCATTATTTTTCACTTCATCTCTTGTTATTTTTTAATATAAAATAACCAACTTGTTATTTTTAAATCAGTTGATCATTTTTTTTTTCTATAAACAGAGGATTATACCAAAAAAACTATCCTGTGACTATTTGGATTTTTATTCATATTACGTATCTTTCTAAGCATGCAAACTAGAAATAATACGATTAAACTTTATTTTTATTTAAACTAAAGCGTGCGAACTAAAAAGAAAACATATAGAGTATATTTCGATTCAAACCGAAGTATGACAGGTATAACACATGTTTAGATAAGGATGTAGTAAACCATGTTCAGGTAGATATCATGTGCATAGGCACTTTGAAGAGTTACAAGCAACAAGTTGAGGGAGTTGAAGCCATTGTTCGTACTAACAATGCACAATGGACCAGTCTAATTTGGTACCACAACAGGACGATCCCATACCAAAAGAACATCATGAATGACGTTTTTGCCCAAATACAAGGTGTTGCTAAGCATTTTCGAGAAATGACCGTCAAAAGAGTCGTCATAAGGCTAAACATTGACTCATAACCGAGTAAAGAATGAAGATCGTGACGCTATCTAAAGAGGCACAAGTTAAGATTACATATAATCGTGTTGGTATCGATTCTCGGCATTCTTGTTCTTTACACGTAATCAACATTCTAGACCAAGTGACCTATAACAGCCAACAAGTTTTCTATATCAAATAAATTAAAAAATATTTTTCTTTTATGTAAAAATTAAAATTAGCTGACCCTATTCTCATATGTAATGGGATAAGGAGAGGTAGGATAGTAGGCTGCCCCCAACGCCAGGTTGAGAGCAGCTTCCGTGGGAGACCTCCGGCAGTCAAAATTATGAATTGCCCACCGTGGGACTCGATCCCACGACCACAAAGTTAAGAGTCTTGCGCTCTTACCAAATGAGCTGGACGGGCAATTCTTTTTATGTAAAAATTGACATGCATAATCTATATGAATTGAACAAAAAATTCAATGATTAAAAATACTATTTGGACAAATAGTTACAAGAGTGTAAAACTACACTAATTTTATACTAGTGCGTGTAGATCCCTTCTCCCTGTGTGTATATATATAAAAGTTTAACACATTCTAAAAGAAAATTTGCAAAAGAAAATAGATATCATACTCCAAGAAATTTCTCAAACCGATGCACAAAGTGTTGAACCCTTTGGGAACTCTTTGAATTTCAGGTGGTTGACACGAACTATCCGATTTCACAATTTGAATACCATGTCCAAGCGACACCATGTTCATATAAAAAAAATTAACCACTGTGAACAGTCTCAATAGTTTTAGTTGCAAGATGAGTGCAAAAAGAACATTTCCAGCACATACCAATGCATATCCTAGATTACAGTTGCTGTAAGCAAACGGATAGAGCCTTCAAAACTAGAAAGAAAAAAAAAGGAAAAGAAAAAGATAAGAAACCTCTTTAAGATGACAGGAACTTAATCCTCCTCGTGCTTATGACCTAAGGCACTGGATCCGCGTCGTGCAGTCCCTTCTTGCATGTTGGAATGGTCATAAACTCATCAAATTCCTTTACATATATATCGCAGCACTTTCACTGCAAAGAGATAAGATTGAATGACGGATGGTAAGACTAGAAAAGGATAGCTTGTATCAAATTGCAACATTTAATCATAAGAAGGGATTATATAGCATACCCCTCTCACTCGATCATGGAAAACAGCAGGTCCTAGATGGTAACCACATGCAGTCGCATGGTTATCAATTTCTTTGAAAACTTTACCACATCCTTTATTTTTGCATGCCTGAGGCTGTTTTATATCAACTCTCTTCTCGGGTGGAGAAGACTCCTTGACATCTGCACTGCTGTTTGCGGGTGCAACCGGGCTGGAGTTCTGTGCTTTGGGCTGTGAACCTACAAGTTAGACAACTTAAGCTCTATATATGATAGTATAGCAACATATTAGAACAAGATCACCAGTTTTATCTACTATTAAGAAATAACTGATGATTACAAATTCTAAGATGCACATAATATTCAAATATTACACTTGGCACTTGCAAAATATTAACCTTGAAAACTTAGGTTGAAGTTCCTAAACGGTACAATCTAATTTATATAATATAACTGAGTAATTTCATCATCATATGGTGAAAACAAGTAAAATTGATAACAATATTAATGGAAAACCATCTAAATGTTGAGTTGTCTCAATTGTTAGATTCCAACTCATGCTTCGTCAGAACTTAGAAATCCATGTCATTATGTAGATGGTTTTTCCATTAACATGGAAATCAATTTTACTTGTTTGCACCAACACCAAATCTACAAGGATTACAGTATTCAGTAGGCTCTGCACGCGATGAAAGACTGTCCCAAGTCGAAGCCGATTCTTCTTTTATCGGGCCTCCCTCATGAGATTGTGGATTGGGAAGGGGATTCTTGCCTCGAATGGATGAGTTGTGTACAGTCCAAGTTGAACCGAGAAGGGTTTGATTTGTTCCTCACACTATTATGGAATATTTGGAATCTTTGGAACAAATGGATTCATGATGTAGAGCTTCAAGCGGACAGAGACGTAATTTTTAAAGCTTAGAACCTTCTTGGAGAGTTCAAACACGTCTCCAAACCGTTCGGTTGTCCTAGTAGACAGACTCCTCCCCGCAGACTTCGCAAGTGGAGTAAGCCGGAGCAGGGAATGATAAAGATCAATGTGGACGGTGTGTATAGTAAGGAGTCTAATATGGTCGCGGTGGGCATTGTGGCCCGTGACTCGCACCGCATGGTCCTTGGGGGAATGGCTAAGAAGATTGACCAGCCCTTTACGGTCGAATCCACCGAAGCTACTGCGTTTACTCATGGTATTCGATTAGCAACTGAGAATGGGTGGAGTAATGTGACTATCGAGGGTGACACAATCACGGTTGTATACAGGTTGTCCAATCAGACTACGAAATTGACCAAGACATTTTTACAGTTGGATTGTTGCTCAATGAGGCTCGATCTCTTCTAGTCGACTCCCCCTCTTTCAAAGTACACTATGTCTGTAGGGAAGCGAATAGAGTAGCTCACACTCTAGCTCAATAGGCCTTATCGAATCACAATCCAGTCTGATTTTTCTTGGATGAACCTGATTGTATTAAACAACTTGTAATTGATGTTGTTATTGGAATATAAGATTTATTTCCTTCAAAAAAAAAAAAAAATCATATCCAGGTTTCCGAATACTTCAACTTCTAAGATGCATACAATATTCTGGATATTATTGCTTGCAAAATGTAAAGCTTAAAACAGATCATGACCCAGTAATGTTTTTGCTTTACTTGGAAACCAGCCACTAAAAGCCATGCCAATTTCTCAAGATAAATGGCATGCCGCAGATAATGATGATATACTGGATTTATTTTTTGTTTTTCCTTTTTCTGGATGGTAGATGCACTTAAAATTTCATTTAACCCACTAAAAGTAGTTCCTTTATGTTCGTTTATCATTTAAATGAACAAACATGAATGAACACAAACAAGTTACATTTCTTAACGAACGAAACACGAACAAGAAATTTTTTATTCGTTTATGTTCGTGTTCGTTCATTTATTCGGTTAAAGTTAAACCAGTGTTTTGAAAACTGGATCGGATCGGTCGGTTCAACCGGGAACCGTTGCCTAGTCCGGTTCAATCTACACCGGTTGAACCTCTACTAGTGAACCGGCCGGAACCGCTAAATTGTTCGAACCGGACCAGCTGAAAACCGGGACAAACCGCCAATTTTATTTTTTTTAAATTAAACCAAACGACATTATTTGTTAAACGAGCCAAGTCGAACTCGAATATTGCTGAGCTCAACTCGAACTTGAAAACTTTAAAAGTAAGCTCAACTCGACTCAAACTAATAAGCTAAAAATTATCAAGTTCAACTCGAACTCGAAATATAATTTTGAAACTTGAACTCGAAAAGGCTTGAACTCAAAAAAAATTTAGAAGCTCGATTGAAGCCTAAAATTCGAGCTTGATTGAAGTGAAAGAATAGTTCACTCAATGCTCACCAAAAGGCTCCATGATTTTGAACGTCAAATTACCTCTATTATTTATAAAAGTTAGTTGGGATGTTTTTCTATGTTTCTTAGCCATGTGAGATTGTTTTGTTCTCATATTTTTACTCTTTAGACTTCTGGGATGCTCTTCTATGTTTCTTAGCCATGTGAAATTATTTTTTAAAAAAAAAATTAAACCAAACAATATCATTTTGTTACAATTTTTTTAGTCTCAAATTTATTTTTTAATTATAGTTATATAATTATATTTATTATTTAATATGTTTTACCTTAAATATTATGTTATAGTTAATTTGAATCATTTTGTTTCACTTGATTTTATGGTTTTTAACTTATATATATGTTATGACTTGTTTTGAATATGACTTGTGATATAAAAATTTATTTTTTATTAAATAATTTTGGTATTTTTATTTAATTTTTTAAATAATTATGACGTCGTCCGGTTCTTCTGACCGGTCGGACCGGTTCAACCGGTTAAACCAGTGAACCGATAGCATGACCGTTTGGCTAACCGGTCCGGTTCTGAAAACCATGATTTAAACGAACGAACATAAATATATCCCGTTCGTGTTCGTTCGGTTCGTTTACAGGCCCACACCCTATAACTGAATATTATTTTGTAACTTTTAATAGTTACATAACTCAATAAAGAAAAACACTATAATTAGGGACCATTAGCATACTTTATCCTATCTTTTTTTTATAATTTGTTTTAATCCCTAGAATTTTGTAATTCTCATCCTTCTTAAAATTTTAAAATTCCATCCACTAACAAAAAGTCTTGCGTATGTCTTTGTCTCAGGTCACACATGACAATCCTTGGCTCTCAAATCCTGCCATTGGCGGATAAACTACGGCATGTTTTGTCGATCGCAAGAGATTCTTGGATAAATAAGCGGAAATTTACATGCCGAGCTTCAAGAGTGTGATACACCACTTTTGTTTGCCATCTTCAGGGACATTGTTTTGAAAACCGGATTAGATCGGTGATTCAACCGGTTTAACCAAGAATCATTACCTAGTTCGATTCAATCTAGACCGATTGAACCGCTACTAGTGAACCTGTCAGAACCGTTAAACCGTTCAAATCGAACCGGCTGAAAACCGGAAAAAACCTCCAATTTTGTTTTTTTTTATAAAAAAATTAAACCAAACGACATCGTTTGTTAAACGAGTCAAGTCGAACTCGAGTATTGCTAAGCTCGACTCGAACTTGAAAAATTTAAAAGTAAACTCAACTCGATTCAAACTCACGAGCTAAAAATTATGAAGTTTAACTCAAACTGGAAATATAATATTGAAACTTGAACTCGAAAAGGCTTGAACTCAAAAAAAAATTAGAAGCTCGATTGAAGCTTAAAATTCGAGCTTGATTGAAGTAAAAGAATAGTTCACTCAATGCTTACCAAAAGGCTCAATGATTTTGAATGCCAAATTACCTTTATTATTTATAGAAGTTAGTTGAGATGATCTTCTATGTTTCTTAGCCATGTGGGATTGTTTTTAAAAAAAATTAAACCAAACAATATCATTTTGTTATGATTTTTTTAGCCCCAAATTTATTTTTTAATTATAGTTATATAATTATATTTATTATTTAATATGTTTTACCTTAAATATTATGTTTTAGTTAATTTGAATCATTTTGTTTCACTTGATTTTATGGTTTTTAACTTATATATGTTATGACTTTCTTTGAATATGAATTGTGATATAAAAAATTATTTTTTATTAAATATTTTTGGTATTTTTATTTAATTTTTTAAATAATTATGACGTCGTCCGGTTCTTCCGACCGGTCGGAGCGATTCGACCGGTTGAACCAGTAAACCGGTAGCATGATTGATTCGCTAACCGGTCCGATTATGAAAATCATGTTCAGGGAAGGCACTGATAAGTGAAGTGGCGAAAGGGTTAAAGCTTCATGCAAATGATGTCGAAGCTGCTCTGATGACACTGCATAGGTTCGGGAATCAGTCATCGGCTTCATGGTGGTAGGAACTGGCTTACATGGAAGGCAAGGAGAGGGTGAAGAAAGATGATAAAGTTTGGGTTCATGGATTGGGTACTGGGCTCAAGTGCTGTAACTTGATTTTGGAGTGTTTAAGAACAACAGCTGGGGAGTCTAAAAGCAACCCATGGAATGATTGTATTCATCTTTATCCTGTCCAGGCCATTGATCAAAATTCGATTATGTGTTAATTAACGATTTCCAAGAGATATTTTTCTCTTAAAATGAAACGTTAAGATCAAAATGTTTCAAAAAAAAAACTAAAATAGCTATTTTAACGAGCGTTAAGAGATATTTGTTTAGAAAGGTCCCTTTCAAATGTCCCACAACTTAACAATGAGTAAGCTAAACTTAGTGACACATGGTATGAGAACATAATGATGCTTGTTTATTAATAAGGGTACGACGGTGCTTGTTTGTTAATATGAGCACAATGGTTCTTGTTTGTTACTAAGGGAACATCGATGCTGGTTTGTTAATCAATGCATAATGGTGTTCGCTAGTGGCATAAAACATGAGTTTGATATATTTATCATATGATGTTGTTTTATTGAGTTATCTGATTATTAAAAGTTATAAAATAAGTATTTGATTATTTATATGTTTTAAGCTTGTCATTTTCTATTAAAAAATGATCGTCGTCTTAGTTGGACACTAACATATTGACTGAAAAATGATAAAATCTGATCTAAAATCGTTGAGCTAGTGCTTGAAATACTATGTCGTTGAGTCATTCTTTGAATGCAACAAACAATGTTATTAGATATCATTAAAATATAATTTTATCATATCCCAGTTAGCAAGTTAATATTTAACTCAAACGGTCATAATTTTTTAATGGAAAATAATGAGTTTAAAATATATTAATAGTCGGTTGATAATTTTGTAGCTTTTAATATTTGGGGAACTCAACAAAATAAAGTTGTATAGTTGGTGGATTATTTTGTAACTTTTAATAGTTGAAAGACTCAACAAAGCAATTCCATATAGTCGTGGGACTTTTTATATACTTTACCCGAAAATAATTACAGTTTAAAGTTTTAAAGGATAAATTATGCGTTTAGTACATAAACTATCAGTTTTAGTTAATTTTAGTACTTAATCTTTCAATACTTTTAAAACCTTATCCAAAGTTTAGTTTTTGTTTCATCAGTTTTTGTTTTATTTTAGTACATTGTTCAAAATTCAACGTTAAATTTTAAAAATTTGAAAGTTTCGGTACTAAAAATGACCAAAATTGATAATATAGGTACTAGTGATATTAAACTTTTTACGGTAAGATACTAAAATGAAATGAAAATTAAACTAAACGTTAAATATGATTTTAAAAAAAATTAAAAATAAAAGTATTAAAACATATAAAACTAATAGTTTAGGTATATGGATTGGGCAAGCAATTGTGTAGGTTCCAAAACCATTTAAGCTACTAGAAAGTCGGCACTAAGCTTGTCAACTTTGAATGGGCTAAAACACTAATATTATATTTCCAAGAGGATTTTCCGGGGAACTTCTGCTGTGCGGATCCTTAAAGACGGCTAAAAAACGGCGTGACCTGTTAAATAAGTGACCGGTTAAAATTTAGACCGGTTATGTTATATCATTTAACCGGAAATATTATCAGGTACAATAACATATTAGGTAGCACTTATATAATGTAATAGGTAGCGCTTATATAATAAAATAGGCATTTAACCAGAAATATTATCAAGTACAATAACATATTAGGTAGCGCTTATATAATGTAATAGGTAGCGCTTATATTGACCTATTTTCTAACTAAACTGGTTTATTTATACCGACAACATTGCAAATTTACCTATTACATTATAATTATCGGTTTCAATATTTTTTAGATCGATACAATTTTAAATGTATCGACACTTTATGCATGCACCTCGTTGAGCATTCATTCTGGAAAAAAGTATCGACACAAACTTAAAAAGTGTCGATACATTATGTAGAACTATTTTCTCATAAAACCGGTATATTTCTATCGGGTACATTGTAAATTTACCTATTACATTGTAATTATCGGTTTCGATGTTTTTTGGATCGATGCAATTTTAAATGTATCGACACTTTATGCGTGCACCCGTTTGACATTCATTCTGGACAAAATGTATCGACACAAGTTTCACAAGTGTCGATACATTATGTAGACCTATTTTTTCATAAAACCGATAAATGTCTACCGGTTACATTGTAAATTTATGTATTACATTATAATTATGGGTTTCGATGTTTTTGGGATCGATACTTTTTATAAATGTATCAACACTTTATGCGTGCACCATTTTGGGCATTCATTCTGGACAACAAGTATCGATACAAGTTCCACAAGTGTCGATACATTATGTAGACCTATATTCTCTTAAAATCGGTAAATTTATACCAGTTATATTGTAAATTTACCTATTACATTATAATTATGGGTATCGACACATATTTAGGTAGTTATTGTACATACCTAAATATGTCCTGCGAATTTAATGTTGTACCCACCCTTCAACTACCACTACCAATACCACATCCTATTGAAAGCACGCCTGAAACATGTTGTTCAATGAACCTTTACTTACATCTCCATCAACTCCGGGAATACTGGACTTGCACAACAAATTTTTTTCCATGGATCATACTGATGCAGACAATGTTAAGCCAACCAAGGAATGCATTGAAGTACATAATGTTGATGAATATGACAGATTGGTTGTTCAGCTCTTCTCTTCACGTGATCAAGCTTGGTACTTTTACAATGGATTCGCACGGGAACATGGGTTTAGTGCACGTAAGGGAACAACACGGCTTGACGTGGAAGGGAATGTGAAGGCACAAAATTTTTGTTGTTCCAAAGAAGGGTTTTGAGTATCAAAAGTCAATACTGTTGATCGTCAACGTGCTTATACGCTAGTCACAAGAATAGGATGCAAGGCTAGAGTCGTAGTTATAGAAACAAATACAAACGATCACTGGGTTATAAGTAAGTCTTATCAGAAACATAATCATGCATTGTGCACAACTGGTATGACACCATTTATACGTTCTAATAGAGCTGTAAGTAAGGCTGATATCGATGAGGCAACAACATTGAAAGAGGTCGGTGTTGGCACGTCACAAGTAATGAATTTTTTAACGCAGCAGGCAGGGGGCTATGATAATGTTGGATTTACACATAAAGACCTCTACAATGCACTTCAAAGAGGTAAAGCAAAGGAAATCGTCGATGGGGATGTGAATGCGCTTATTGCTTACTTTGATTATAAGAAACATGATGATCCCAGGTTTTTAATGACATACTCGGTAGACGAATTAGGGGCATTGCATAATCTTATTTGGTCGGATTCTACATCGAGATCAGATTACACATGTTTCGGTGATGTAATTATGTTCGACACAACGTACAAAGATAATTTGTATGGTCGACTAATTATGCCTATTTTCGGTGTCAATCATCACCATATCATAATTGTGTTTGCCACTGCCATAATCGCTGACGAGACGTCCCAATCTTTCGAGTGGGTGCTACAGAATGTTTTAGAAGCCATGATGAATAAATCGCCTATTTCAGTTGTCACCGATGGGGATAGGGCAATGCAGAGGGCTATCAAATATGTTATCTCTCATGCTAAGCACAAATTATGTTCTTGGCATCTTTCTCGCAATGCACAAGCTAACATTGGTGACCCAAAATTTACAGCAGCATTCTCAAAATGCATGGCTTCCTGGTGGACAACCGTGGAATTTGATATTCAATGGCGTTCGGTTGTTTCAGAATTCAACATCGAAAAACATCCATGGGTGATTGAGAAGGGAAATACTCAACACCTATGGGCACAAGCATATCTAATCGATCATTCCTTTGCCAATATTCGCTCAACACAAAGGTACGAGTCTATGAATGCTTCACTCGCGATTGCACTGAAACACAATAAGACATATTTAGATGTTGTTCGTGCAATTGAAGATGGAATTAGTAGAATGCATATGAACGAGTTGAAAGTGGATTACTTAAGTTCCCAAACGAAGCCCTTCCATATCACAAAACTGGTCGACCTTGAAAGCCATGCTACTGAGATTTATACAAGCGAATCTTTTCGTGTGTTCCAAGATGAACTTCAACGGGAGACATTGTACCAGATTCAGGAAGTGATTCAGTCCTTATCAGATGAATGTCAAAATTATATTTTGACAAAGTACAAAGAAAAAAATAGGACAATTGAAATTAGTTTTGATTCTCGTACGAAAACCCTAAATTGCTCCTGCAAAAAATTCGAGACCGTCAGACTTCCGTGTCGCCATCAACTTCACATTTTGAAGCACTTGGATTACACATATTTGCCTGGGAATTTGATTCAAAGTAGGTGGACTAAGGATGAAAAGGCTTTTGCACCCAGTTATGTTGACTTGAATGTGCCTCCAGAAGTAATGCAAATGGCAATGTTCGCTGCTCTACGTGCAACGTCAAGTAGGTTATGCTACATTGCATCAAAGGCAGATGCGTCTTTCAAAACTGCAATAGATGAGATGAAAAGACTAACAGAAGAATTTGAAACTCGTTTGGTTTGAATTATTCAATCAACCAGAGCAATGTAGTAAACAACGTTCGCGACCCTCAACGAAAACAACGCAAGCGAAAAGAAGTACCGAAGAACAAGGTCGAGAAGACAATTAGGTGATGTGGGTTCTGTAACGGTGAGGGACATAACAAAATAACATGTCCTCAAGTCAAGTTCAGTTTGAATACAAGCACACAGCCTACATCAATTGATTTTTTCGAAGACGGAATGGAATGGCCATTCAGTCCCGCACGTGATGACAACGATCTCCATATATCGTAAGTATCAACATGACTCCTATTGTGTATAAGAAACATGTACAACAACCTATTGCTAACTTTTCTCATCTCATACAACCTATTACACTCACATACAAAATTATAAATCGTATACAAAATTATGAATCGTATACAAAATTTCCCCTACATTAATAAAATTTCCTCTCTTTGTCTATTTTGATTGTTGCTTACGAGACCGTTTAATATTCCATCCGCATTGTCACATAAATGCCAAACAATCTATAGACTAGAGTCTATCGCAATCATGGCCAGAATCAGTTCTGTAACTGGGATTATCTAGGTT